AAGTACACCAGAGGGCGCTGTGTCAACAAGATGAGAAGATGAGGGGGCGCCGTATCAACAAGGTGACAAGTACCCAGAGGGCGCTGTCAACAAGGTCAGAAGCACACAGGGGGGCTGTCAGAACACAGAAATACACCAGGGCGCCAGTAGTCAACAAGGAGAAATACACCAGGGGGGCGCTGTGTCATCAAGATGAGAAGTACACCAGGGGCGCTGTGTCAACAAGGGGAGAAATACACCAGGGGGCGCTGTGTCAACAAGATGAGAAGTACACCAGGGGGTGCTCTGTAAACAAGGTGAGAAGTACACCAGGGGTAGGTCTGTAAACAAGGTGAGAAGTACACCAGAGGGCGCTATGTCAACAAGGGGAGAAATACACCAGGGCGCCAGTCAACAAGATGAGAAGCACAACCAGGGAGCGCTGTGTCAACAAGGTGAGAAGCACACCAGACTGTGTCAACAGGACCAATACACCAGGGGCGCTGTGTCAACAAGGTGAGAAGGTACACCAGGGCGCTTCTGTCAACAAGGGAGAAATACACCAGGGGGCGCTGTCAACAAGATGAGAAGTACACAACCAGGAAGCAAGGTGAGAAGTGTCAACAAGGTGAGAAGTACACCAGGGGGCACTGTGTCAACAAGGTGAGAAGTACACCGGAAGTTGAGACAGACCAGGTGCGTACAACAAGAGAGAAGCACAACTTGAGGGGCTACACCAGGCTCAACAAGGTGAGAAGTACAGAGGCTGTCAACAAGGTTGAGAAGCACCCAGGCACGCTGTGTCAACAAGAGATGAAATACACCAGGGGCGCACACAAACAGGCCCATCAACAAGGAGAAATACACCAGGGGGACGCTGTGTCAACAAGGTGAGAAGTTACACCAGGGGGCGCTGTAATCAACAAGGTGAGACGAGAATCACACCAGGGGGTGCCTGTCAACAAGGTGAGAAGCACACCAGGGCTGTGTGTCAACAAGGAGAGAAGCACACCAGGGGGCGCTGTGTCAACAAGGTGAGAGAAGAACAGACACCGAACAACAGGGGGCGCTGTGTCAACAAGGTGAGAAAGTACACCAGAGGGCGCTGTGTCAACAAGGTGAGAAATTACACCAGAGGGCGCTGTGTCAACAAGGTGAAGAAACACACCAGGGGGCGCTGTGTCAACAAGATGAGAAGTACACCAGAGGGCGCTGTGTCAACAAGGTGAGAAAATAACCAGGGCGCTGTGTCAACAAGGGAGAAATACACAGAGTGCTCTGTCAACAAGATGAGAAGTACACCAGGGCAAGCAGGAAGAAACACGAGAAGCTCACCAGGGAGCTAGGTCCAAACAAGGTGAGAAGCACACCAGGGGGCGCAGTGTCAACAAGGTGAGAAGTACAATCCCAGGGCTGTGTCAACAAGGTGAGAAATAGAGGGCACAGGGGTGCTGTGTCAACAAGGTGAGAAGTACAACAGGGGTTATGTGTCAAGGGCCCACAAAATAACAAGCAACCAGAAGGTCAAGGAGAAGTACACCAGGGCTGTCAACAAGTGAGAAGCACACCAGAGGGTGAGAAGTGAAAGTACACCAGGGGCGCAACAAGGAGTCAACAAGGGGAGAAAGGGAACCAACAAGGAGAACACAACCAGAGAGCCAAGAAGTCAACAAGGGAGAAGTACACCAGAAGGACGCTGTGTGAACAGGAATAACAAAGGGGAGAACAGTGGAAATCAACAAGGGAGAAGTACACCAGGGGGCGCTGTGTCAACAAGGTGAGAAGTACACCAGAGGAACACAGCGCTGTGTCAACAAGGTGAGAAAACACACCAGGACAAGCCAGTCAGACATGTGTCAACAAGGGAGAGAAGTACACCAGGGGGACGCGTTGAGAACACCAGGGGTAGCTGTGTCAACAAGGTGAGAAGTACACCAGGGGGCCAGAACAACATGGGTGTCAACAAGGGGAGAAGTACACCAGGTGTGCCAAAGTGTCAACAAGGAGAGAAGGCACACCAGAGGGCGTTGTGTCAACAAGGGGAGAAGTACACCAGGGGCGCTGTGTCAACAAAGTGAAAGTACACCAGGGGGGGCACACGCAGTGTCAACAAGGTGAAGAAGTACACCAGGGGGCTGCCAGTCAACAAGGTGAGAAGTACCAGGGGTGCTTTGTCAGGAAATAACAAGGTGAGTGCTTGTGTCAACAAGGTTGAGAAGTACACCAGGGTATGACCTGCTGTCAACAAGGTGAGAAGTACACCAGGGTGCGCTGGTGGAGAAGGAAGTCAACAAGGTGAGAAGTACACCAGAGGGCGCTGTGTCAACAAGGGGAGAAGTACACTAGGGGGTGCTGTGTTAACAAGGTGAGAAGTAGACCAGGGGGTGCTCTGTATACAAGGTGAAAAGTACACCAGGGGACGCTCTGTAAACAAGAAGAGAAGTACACCAGGGAGCGCTGTGTCAACAAGGTGAGAAGTACACCAGGGTGCGCTGTGTCAACAAGGTGAGAAGTACACCAGAGGGCGCTGTGTCAACAAGGTGAGAAGTACACCAGAGGGCGCTGTGTCAACAAGGTGAGAAGTACACCAGGGGGTGCTCTGTAAACAAGGTGAGAAGTACACAAGGGGGTGCTCTGTAAACAAGGGGAGAAGTACACCAGGGGGCGCTCTGTAAACAAGATGAGAAGTACACGAGGGGGTGCTGTGTCAACAACGTGAGAAGTACACCAGGGGGTGCTCTGTAAACAAGGGGAGAAGTACACCAGGGGGTGCTCTATAAACAATGGGAGGTGTACACCAGGGGTCGCTGTGTCAACAAGGTGAGAAGTACACCAGGGGGCGCTCTGTTAACAAGGTGAGAAGTACACCAGAGGGCGCTGTGTCAACAAGGTAAGAAGTCCACGAGGGATAGGTTTCATTTCGATAGGTTTTCCCATTGTTTTGCTGGTGGTTGTACTACGAACAAGTTGGTGTCTGGAGGAGATACTGTTTGTAGAGTTTGTTCTACCAAATCGTTTGCTATTTCTTCCGAGTTGTGTGGATGTGCGTAGAGCGAAACTTCTATGCGAGTACAACCACGGGCTTGCACGTCTGGATGCAGGAAAGTTTTCCGCAAATGTTGGTTTGGGCAATCCACATAGTCTGCCAGATGTCCTCCGATTTGCTCCCGGACTTCTCCTGCTTCGAAATTGGAAACAACCTTGTTGTAGAGTTTCGTTCGCATTGTATAGCCATTCCAGGTTTCGACCCAAGTACAGACGTGGGCCCCAACACTACCCGTATTGTCTAGAATTGTTGGACTGTTCGACTGCATAGCAGAAGCCAGAGTCTCCTTGCTCTCGAAACCATGTTTCTTCCAAAGGTATTCCACCAGTCGCTTGCGGTCCAGTACACCAGAAAATCTCTTGTATAGTCGATAGAATACAGCCCATAGCCGTGTGCTAGTAGTTGGCGTTCTAGTTTTGGAATCGACGTTTGTAGCTTGCCAATGGGTATTTCGGAAACGTCTATCTTTGCTACGAATAGAGCGTATGCCTTCTCTTCCGGATATAGTTCTTGCCACTTGTCTTTCGCTTTCTTTCCGGTCTCTCTCTCTACTCTAGCGATGGTGCTCCGTATTGCTCCACAGTTGTCTTCTCGTATTCCTATCGTGTGTAGGATATTTGTTTGCACATGTTTGGGGTTTGCCAAAGACTCTTGTACTGCGATGGAGATTCTGGAAACGACGAGTTGTGCGGAACCTTCCCTTCCAGTCCTGCACGATACCTTGGCGTTCTTGCAAACGCAGTCTTTGCGTTGGAGGTAGCCAAACACGTATATATCGTCTACGAATGTAGGTAGACCTTCCAAAGGTTGTAGATTTGTTCTGCCAAGATGTCCAGCAAGATAGTCGGCGCCGGCAATATTCGACACAAGATTGCTGTCTACAGTATTTTCTAGGAGTAGATGTGCCCCTACAGACTTTTGGACCCGCAGGCCCATTTGTTGGAAAGTCGTTTCGGTTGCCATCTTCTGCTATATGTAGTGCTATTCATTGGAACTACCAAACCTCTAATTGGAAATTTTCGACTACTTTTGCGGGGGGGAAAAATGCAACAAGGTAGTACCAATCCTAGTAGTCCTGACCATTTTTGTGCTCTCGATAAATCCTCTCTGAACTCACAAAATATAACAAAATGAAACAAGAGATTCGATCCAAGTCTCGTAAGTCTGCTATCAGCGAGGACGAGAAAAAAAAGTACATAGAACAGGGGATACAAAAAGCCCGTCAAGCCTTTATTACAAACACCAAAGAGATCATAGGCGATTCACATTAAACTGTTTCGTCGATGTCAACGTGACATAGCGGCACGTGGAACTATTATAGAGCAATCCCAGTATAGACCCGTTAAACCGAGATACTTCAGCTAAGTCCCCGGTTGCTCAGTCGGTTGAGTGGTGCGGTCTATTATAGTTTGCGTGTGGGGTTCATATCCCGCTAGTGGCTCAACTTTTTATAAGTATATTCGCGGTCGGGAAATCAACGGGGGGCTCAAAAGTAGTAGATGCAATGGTAGCAAGAGCTAAGGGTCCGACCAAAGCAGAGGCTCTTGTTGGACTTGGTCCAGGACTATCATTGTATATACTACTCAAACAACAACGTTAGGTGAAGTTCCGGTGTCAAGCATTCCAAAAAACACTGAACAATTCAGTTTTAGACTTTGGGATACTGTTAGGAGGTTTGTCCGTTAACAGAAGTACCTGTAACGCTTAAAACACTTCGACGATTTGAATTGTGTTTGAATTTATTCGGCCCTGCGTCTCATGTGAATGAGCATATCTTTATTTACGAGGTCTTGTGCCTGCAGTTAGCGGAAAGCACGTAAAGTTTCAAGGCCGTCGTGGGGAAATCATGCCACTATGTTTGTAAAAGTGAATTTCATTCATGATCCTGTAAAATACATGATAGTTGTGATTTAATGTGATGTTTCTGTGGCGCACATATTGTACATTGTGTATGTCTTCCGTATCTACCCTGCAGAACAACAACCGACAACACGGTCCCACCAACAACCAACACCACCCTCCTCGACGACGGTAACATTTACTCACACAGCAGCTACAACAAAGACACCAGCAACAACATTATCAACGTCATCACCGGCAACATCGCTACATAGTACCAGAGCGAGGGAACCTGACAAGACGTCCCAAGGCCATCCACCAACATCTCACAGACCCACCCAGCATAAGACTGACCGGCATCCAACACAAGGGCCAACATCTCACAGACCCACCCAGCATAAGACTGACCGGTATCCAACACAAGGGCCAACATCTCACGGACACTCCAGGACTGGCAAGTCAGATCACCAATCAAAAAATCAGCTCTCGGAAGGTGAACATACGCTGGTGAACGTGTCCTATATTCACATGTTGTGTTACTTGTCCTGTATTCACATGTTGCGTTACTTGTTCTATATTCACATGTTTTGTTACTTCTCCTATATTCCATGTGTGGTGTTGGATTTGGGTTTAACGTCGTGCTTGAGAATATTTCGCATCACCAATCAAAAAATCATCTTTCGGAAGGTGAACATACGCTGGTGAACGTGTCCTATATTCACATGTTGTGTTACTTGTCCTATATTCACATGTTGTGCTACTTGTCCTATATTCACATGTTGTGTTACTTGTCCTGTATTCACATGTTGTGTTACTTGTCCTGTATTCACATGTTGTGTTACTTGTCCTGTATTCACATGTTGTGTTACTTGTCCTATATCCACATGTTGTGTTACTTGTCCTGTATTCACATCTTGTGTTACTTGTCCTGTATCCACATGTTGTGTTACTTGTCCTATATTCACATCTTGTGTTACTTGTCCTGTATTCACATGCTGTGTTACTTGTCTTATATTCACATGCTGTGTTACGTGTCCTGTATTCACATGTTGTGTTACTTGTCCTATATTCACATGTTGTGTTACTTGTCCTGTATTCACATGTTGTGTTACTTGTCCTGTATTCACATGTTGTGTTACTTGTTCTATATTCACCTGTTGTGTTACTTGTCCTGTATTCACATGTTGTGTTACTTGTCCTGAATTCACATGTTGTGTTACTTGTCCTTTATTCACATGTTGTGTTACTTGTCCTATATTCACATGTTGTATTACTTGTCCTGTATCCAAATGTTGTGTTACTTGTCCTATATTCACATGTTGTGTTACTTGTCCTGTATTCACATGCTGTGTAACTTGTCCTATATTCACATGCTGTGTTACTTGTCCTATATTCACATGTTGTGTTACTTGTCCTGTATTCACATGCTGTGTAACTTGTCCTATATTCACATGCTGTGTTACTTGTTCTATATTCACATGTTGTGATACTTGTCCCTTGTCCTATATTCACATGCTGTGTTACTTGTTCTATATTCACATGTTGTGATACTTGTGCCTTGTCCTATATTCACATGTTGTTTTACTTGTTCTATATTGACATGCTGTGTTGCTTGTTCTATATTCACATGTTGTGTTGCTTGTCCTATATTAACCTGTTGTGTTACTTGTTCTATATTGACATGTTGTGTTACTTGTCCTATATTCACATGTTGTGTTACTTGTCCTATATTCACATGTTGTGTTACTTTTCCTATATTCACCTGCTATGTTTCTTGTCCTATATTCACCTGCTGTGTTACCTGTCCTATATTCACATGTTGTGTTACTTGTTCTATATTCATCTGTTGTGTTACTTGTCCTATATTCACATGTTGTGTTACTTGTCCTATATTGACATGTGTTACTTGTCCCTTGTCCTATATTCACATGTTGTGTTACTTGTCCTATATTCACATGTTGTGTTACTTGTCCTATATTCACATGTTGTGTTACTTGTCCCTTGTCCTATATTCACATGTTGTGTTACTTGTCCTATATTCACATGTTTTTTTACCTGTCATATATTCACATGTTGTTTTACTTGTCCTATATTCACCTGTTGTGTTACTTGTTCTATATTTACCTGCTGTGTTACTTGTCCTATATTCACCTGTTGTGTCACATCCCCGTACTCACCTGTTGTGTCACATCACCGTGTTTACCTGTTGTGTCACTTCCCTGTATTCTGTTGCAGGTGCTGTGGCCGCCATTGTAGTCTCGTGTGTTCTCGCCTTGTGCATCGTGTTGCACTCTTTCATCTTCATCAGGTAATGATGTCCACTCCAGGGTCTCATAACAAACAATAAGTTCTGAATGTAGATAAATAAGACCGAGCTGTGACATTATACTATATGTATTTCATGTACCCTGTCGTATCAGAGGGCCCTTTCAAAATGGAGTACAATCGAAGGACAGTTTGTGTGCGTGGATTTCATTTGTGAGATTTGGTTGGCTGGTTTGTTCTTTAACGCCTCACTCAGCAATATTCTACCCATATGACGACTGTCTATAAATAATCTAGTATGGACCAAACAATCCTGTGATCAGCATCATGAGCATCGATCTACGCAATGGGATACGATGACTTGTGTCAACGAAGTCTGCGAGCTGTTAGTCGCCTCTTACGACATGTATAGGTTACTGAAGACAAATTCTAACCCAGATCTTCACGGGTCTCATTTGTTAAGAAATAAAGCTAAATCGTGTCTGAAAGCTTACACCTGATTGGCTGTGTGTGTCAGAAACCCTGCATTTTGATTGGACGGTCAAGGTTCGCTCAGCGTCAACCTGAGACAGACATTGTATCGAGGTAACAAATCTGATAGTAATGAGATTGTCGTACAGCTCTATCAGGTAAAGATTGCGTATTTAGTATTGCTGGAATATTTCTGACAGCGGCGTAAAACTGCATGCAGTCTCTCAGACTGCCAGTAATAAATAAACCTCCCTTCCAGATATTCCAGACGGCGGCCCTGCCACTGGCTTCGGGGACGACGGAAACATACATACGGACGAGATCGGATAGAGAGCCCCGAGGACTTCGACTTCACGTCAGGCACGGAACTCCCGAAGTATGGACCAGCGTTATTCCCCGACACCAAGGAGAAGTCGGGAACAGGGGGCATCAGCAACCCAAACTACATCCCGGACACAGTCTCTCCCGATGTCTGAGAACCTAGTTGTCAGTTGTCTGAGGCGTCACAAAACTCTTTCCGGGGATCGTCTCCTAGACGGAATTATATCCAGGGATTGTACTACTCTAGGTTCCCCTCCAACGTAACGCTTGCGAAATAGTTGAAAACCTTTTAAAAGGGAGGTTACCCCCAACGTGTTCACACTGACCTCGACTCATTTACTTCATCAAATATATCATCATTGTATTAAAGGCTCGGCACTTTGTAGCGACGGATTTGTGGGTTTTTTTATTAAAATTTTAGCTGTCAATTTTTATGTTGATAAAACAGTTTTCGGGTTCGATTCCCAGATGGGTACGATGTGCAAACCCACTGACCTGCATGTCATGTTCACAGCCATCTATGAAAGTGTCTGTCTCCGATTGTGACACAAACTTTATTTAAATGAACAAATCCCCATATCGCCTCATCACCAGGGCGACGGTTGGTTAGCTTAGTGGTGAAAGCGTTCGCTCGCCATACAGCAGACCCGGGTTTGATTTCCCCACATGTGTGAAGCCCATTTGTGGAGTCTCCCGCCGTGATATTGCTGGAATATTGCTAAAAGCGGCATAAAACTAACCTCAGGCATGACCAGTGAATCGTCTCCAGATACGTTTTGTATATGTGTTCTCCATATATTTTTACTGATATTTTCATGTTTTTTATTTTCAGAGCATCTTAAGTTAGCGTTATTGTATCCCAAACATGAACTGTACCGGCATTTCGTCAGCACATAAAAATACATCTACATGATTTCATTTTTTACACCTTTCTTTAATTCAAAACCTTAAAAACTTAAAAAAGTCACATAACACAACGGTCGAGGGTACCGTGGTCATCCTCTCTTTAAAAATCAGCTGAAATTGATTAACAAGCAATTAAACATATGCTGGGTCTTAATACTTACTTTTCACAAACAAGTAACATGTTGAAGAGTCATCTTGAGGCTTCCTACAACACCTAAATAATAGCATCGACCCGTGAAGATCCGGGTCAGACTTGATCTTCAGTAACCCATGCTTGTCGTAAGAGGCGACTAACAGGATCGGGTGGCCGGGCCCGCTGACTTGCTATGAAATCGGAGCCAGCACTACTGGTCGTCTTCTGACCTGCCTGTGGGGATGTTTCCACAAATGTTCAATGGCGCTCCTGTTCATAGGCCTCCACTGCGGGTCAGAAAATCGATAAACTAAGCCCCGGTTTACTACCCAGCCCCCCTACTATATAATATCTAAAGGTTCATCACAGAAATACGACGAAATGATCGAAAACCGGACAATTACGCACACATGAATCAATATATCGTATGTTAAAAGTCTCACAAGTATCAAAAGCTTTTGTCCATAACACCGATGTGTGTAGGGGGCATATACACGTGCTTTCCGTGGGAATGCATTTGTTGTTTTTTATTAAATCGCTAAAAATACCGAGTTGCTGTGCCGGAAGTATACACAACAAGGCTGTTAGCGCTTGGCTGTACTACCTCCGGGATCCGGCGATATGAAAAAACGTGGCCTAAGGTTTTGATTGCTCTTTAAAGCCAACAACATAATGTTTTCCAGAATCCAGTATATCTTATATTCGATGATATCAGGTTTCACGTGACAAACCGCAATTCCTGCCGAGAGGAGATGAGGCTGTTGAAGTGAGAAAGAGATAGTCTATAAGAATAGTGAGTACATACGGTTTGTGAATCAGTACTGCGGAGGTAAATCTGCAGATAACGGGGTTTTGTATGACGTGGGCATCAATTATGAAGATATACCGGATATTAGTTTGGAACTTGATAAAATAAGAAAGTCACAATTAAAAAGAATCACGAAGTCGTGGAATATAGATGAAGTTTAAAAAACTCGTATCGACATATTCGTGCGGAACTGTAATTGTAAAGAAAACCTCATTTCTAAAATATCTTTCAGGACTCTATGTAAAGCATTGAGAGGCAAATATTCGAAGCTAAAATTATATGTATGTATACCTTAAATAATCTATGTAGGGCAGAGGTTAAGAAATGCAACAACATACCTTTTTCTGGAATATGCTAGACTGGATAACTTTTAAATGACAGAGAGATATATATTTCTGTGAGGGGGCCCCCGGCCCATTATTCAAGTACATACGGACTTATTATACTGACGTGGAGCGCCAAGGTTGTTACATGTTGAATTTTTAGAAATCGAATACGCTTTTTCATACCAAGAAATACAAATCGTGCAAGACTGTTAATGGCATCGACGTTTGTAGAAGACAATAAGTGACATATACGGTTGGAATTACGAAAAACATCAAATCATAAAATATTCAAATATCCACTCAAACGGGGTTATTTTAGGACTTTTGTTATCTTAATTCTGCAGATGAGGAATTCGAGACGCATGAAGACAGTAATCCATCAATGGTCCTGTCGTGGATGAAGATAAAACTATGACATTAAGCGTTCTCTAATTAAACACAAGACTGACTAAGCTGATGGAAGGAACTCTCTGAATACAGACTCAACAGAGGTTTACTACAAAACGGAAAATATTTTTATACTCTGGTATTGCTGGATTGATCATAAAGTACAATGAGAAACTATTTTTTGCTTCTATAGCTGACTGACTGAGTTTGGTTTTACGCCGCTTTTAGCAATATTCCAGCAATATCACGGCGGGGGACACCAGAAATGGGCTTCACACAATGTACCCATGTGGGGATTCGAACCCGGGTCTTCGGCGTGACGAGCCAACGCTTTAACCACTAGGCTACCCCACCGCCCTTTGCTTCTATAGATTTTCATAACATGTTCGGCAGCGTATGGAGATTGGGGCTTTGGAATATACTGGATACAAAAGGAATACATTGCGCGTCGAGTAGTTGTGGACATGTATGAAGTATTAGAGTTAATCAGATTAAGTTTTCGCGATTCCTTCCTTGTGTCAGAACAAGGCAAGGCGAAACTCTCTGAAGGTGACGAGATCGAGCCCACCTGTGACCGGGTGTAAAAATCTTGGAGTCAACTTTGTGCAGACTCTTTCATTGTTGTCACAACCCCTAGTGTACAGTACACAACCCTGTGCTCTTAAAAGAACCCACGAATCCGTTGGTATATGACCAGATGGTGGCCACATGAATACATGCAAACACCTAGTTGCGGACAGTGAACATGGACAAAGTACTGTGACTATGTGTCCCAGTCCACCCAGCTGTGAATGGGTACCACGTAAGGATGGGAAAGCCACATTAACTCGGTGCGCCTAGTGGCTGCAAGAGTTGTATGCTCCCCCAGGGAGTTGAGACTGACATCCTATGATCGAGGGAAAAACAAAGCGCCTGTGAGCAGCCTAGCTGGAACTCGGCGCTATATAAATAGATTATAATAAATATAATAAAATAACAAATCCGCCGCAATCAATCATTGGCATAAACTCATTAATATCAAGCGTTGATTTTTTCACATATTAGACAACGTTTATATGGTGATGTTTCCAGTTTATGAGAACGTTTTAGAAATGTTTCTAACCACCTGATTTTAGCCTATTTATAAGAAATCAAACTGTGTGAAAAATATAGATGTTGATATCAGAGAACAGGTTTTTACCCTTCAATGTGATATTTGACGATGTTTTAGTGATTTTCTCATTGTGTTCGGTTTATTGTAAAACAAAAGACATTTATCGCTGCGAATAGCTGTTGCGGCGTTCAGCAATACTCACGAATGACATGGTATCTCCCTTTTTCTCATGATCTTACATGATGTAGAATGATTTCTGCACAGCAAGATGTACAAATGTGTAATATTTCCTGATTTCGATTGTTTTAAATGAGGTTGTATATCTATGTTTTTATAGTAACAGGCGGTACTGTTCTGTACACCATGACGTTCTATTTAATATATGTATAAGGCACAGAAGAAGATTAAACACGTTTTAAGCTATGGCATGTTGTGTTACAAAACTTTGTGGATGTATCAACGTCTTTGCATACTGTTCTCAAAACATCGTGTATTAAAAGCCACAATATGAACTGGGCCTGGGTAATGTGTTATGTTGTACAAATGGCACAGTCTTGGAACCCTCGGTCAGTTGTGTTATAATGGGTTCAGTTTGGGGTTTAAACTCAGTTTTGTTTTAGATATTGTACAGGCATGTTTTTTAAACTTCGGTTGTCTGTAAAAGAAGTGACCTTGGAAAATGGTTTATGGACCGTTGTGTTTTGAGTATACGTGTGCTAACGTCACTATGCAGTGGGACAATACGGGAAAATAGGCTACATCAAACACACAATAAAACAGCCGTGTTATAAATGGAAATACTACACCACCTGTCATACACAGGTCTTCCCTGAAAGCTGTCACTTCCTGCTAATATATCAACTGTCCCAGTAGCTTCAACCACTACCTGATGAGCAATAGGAAACAGGAAGTCAGCGATGCCCTCTTGTTGATTGTGTCTTGGACGTGTGCGGATTTAGACGATTCCACAATTTGGTTTTATTCTGTACCTATTTCTGGCTTAACCTTCGCAGCAACGCTCAATTATTACATCATAGTTAGCGCTATTTAACCTGGTCAGTGGTTGGAGATTAGTTGTATATCGGCTACATTATTACATAGATCTCTATAGCACTATATCATCGGGATCCTCATGAACAAACAATTACGTTCTGTATGTGGCAGATAAATGAGACCGAGGCTTCGTGACATTTATACTATATGTATTTCTATGTACCCTGTCGTATCAGGAGTGGCCCTTCAAAGATGGAATTACAATCCAAGGACGGCTTGTGTCCAAATGGATTTCTAAGATTATGGATTGATTGGTTGAACGTTGTTTTAACGCCTCATCAGGCAATATTCCTACCGCATATGACGACTGTCTATAAATAATCTAGTCTGGACCAGACAATCCTGTGATCAGCATCATGCAGCATCGATCTACGCAATGGGATACGATGACTTGTCAACGAAGTCTGCGAGCCGTTAGTCGCCTCTTACGACAAGTATGGAGTTACTGAGAGACAAATTCTAACCCAGATCTTCATGGGTCTCATTTTATGTTAAGAATAAAGCTAAATCGTTATCTGAAAGCTTACACCTGACTGAGCTCTGTGTCAAGAGCCCTGCATTTTGATTGGACGGTCAAAGGTTCGCTCAGTGTCAACCTGAGACGGACATTGAATCGAGGATAATACAAATCTGATAGTAATGAGGATTGTCGTACCGCTCTATCAGTTAAACATTGCGTATTTAGTATTGCTGGAATATTGCTGACAGCGGCGTAAAGGCTGCATGCAGTCTCTCAGACTGCCAGTAATAAACAAACCTCCTTCCAGATATTCCGGACGGCGGCCCTGCCACTGGTTTCAGCAGGGACGACGGAAACATACATACGGACGAGATCGGATAGAGGCCCCGAGGACTTCGACTTGAAGATCAGGCGCAGGACTCCCGAAGTACGGACCAGCGTTATTCCCCACCGACACCAAAGGAGAGTCCAGGGAACAAGAGGGCATCAACAGCAACCCAAAGCTACATCCCGGACACAGTCTCTCCCGATGTCACAGGAACCCACAGCTGTCAGTTGTCTGAGGCGTCATAAAACTCTTTCGGGGATCGTCTCTAGACTATATCGAGGGACTGCTTAGTACTCAAGGGTTTCCCTCAAACGTAACGCTTGTGAAATAGTTGAAAACCTTTTTAAAAGGGAGGTTACCCCAACGTTTTCCACTCTGATACGACTCAATTTACCTCATCAAATATACCATCATCATTT